CTTCGCCTGTTGTCTTTAAGCAAAGCGAAGTTGACTGGACATTAATTCATGAAATTTTGCTAAGCACATGCAGTGAAGAATTCGAAGGAGAGATGAAAAGGAGACTAAAATGAGATGAAAAATTTATATGTGAATGTTAAAACAGTTGACGACTACATAAAAGCTAATGCTATCCTACAGAAGAGAAATGTACTTTTCCACACTTTTCAGTTACTCAGCGAAAAACCTTTGAAAGTCATCCTTAAGAACCTACCGTCAACAATGAAAGAGGAAGCTATTTTCGCAGATCTTGAAAGAAGGCGATTTCCCATCCAAAAAGTTAAACATTTCACGAGACGAAAAAGTGAAGTTCTGGAAAAACTTCCAATATTCCTGGAATTAGAAAAAACCAAAGAAGGTCATTCGATACGTCACCTAAACAACATGTTTAGTGTGAATGTTAAGATTGAAAAGTATGCACCCAAGAAAAGAGTAAAGGCCCGTCTACACGTAGCGATTTTCTCGGCCGACTTATCTGGCCGACAATATCTGAGATAGCTCGCCTGTCCACACGGAACGATTTTCTCGTTAGTACAGGAATTCACTCAGCCAATCCTATGAAGGAAGTGTTCTGCCTCTACGCGTCACACTGTCTACGATTTGTAAACAAAGCTTACGGTGTTGTCAAGTAGTCAAAATAATGGATGACTTTTAAATTGCTACTATAGATACAGCTACAATTTTGAAATTAGTTCCTGCTACAGAAGGGAAAAAAAAATGCGTTTGGACCAGAAATTGGGTCAAACGACAAGAAATTCATAGTGCCTTCGTAATTCCCTGCTTCGGGAGTTGCGCATTGAAGACACAGTACAATTCGGAAAGTATTTACGGATGATGCCGTGTGATTTTGATTTTTTGCTAAATTTAGTTTGCTGGAAAATTAAAAAAAAAAAAATTGCTTTTCTTTTGTGTAATTCGCAAAATTCAATTAACACAAAACTCAGTTTGTGATTTTTGACTTTTTATCTTTTGATCAGTAGATCTAAAACACATGCCAACGGCCATTCGAAAAATAAAAAGAAAGACGTTAAAATTCAATAAACACCTCACCCGTAGGCGAAAAATAAAACGTGACTTTTAAGTTATGCAGTTCGAATTTAGTGATGGAGAAACTAAATTAAAAAGTTCTTCCAGGCGCAGAAAGTCCAAAAACCGGTGGGGAATCGAACCCACGATCTTGACGTACCGAGAAACCCTAGCCTGCTCTTTACCACTAGGATATGATCGCTCGCATAGGAGCTGTCGGAAAAGCTATGTACTTCATCACCTGATTAACTCCCATTTTCGGCGAAGTCAATTGAGTCTCTGCGCTGCTTTATTTTCGACTGGAGATTTTGCTTTCTGAATTTTTTTAATGCGACCAAGTTTCAAGTAGTTTCTGAATATTTTCATCTAGTACCCATGATATGGAATCATCAATAGTTTTTGGAACTTGGGAGAGTTAAAATAATTTTCTCCCCTAATAGAAAATATTTGAATATATAAAGTAATGGAGAAGACAAATCTTACCAAAATAAGAGAATTCCTTACTTTTTTATTTTTAAAATTTACATTACTCGTATCGGGCCCCACAACACAGCATTTTCTCTATAGAAATCTATTGAGTTCGCTCCACCGAAATGCAGCCATGTTTATTATCCAAATGAGGAGAAAAAAGCACGTGATCACCAAGCAATCTTATTGGCTAGAGACTCCGATTTTATCGTACGCTAGTGAGCAGTGATCACCAGTTCTGAAATCGCGGCAGAGAACATGACCGATTTTTGGCGCATGCGCAGATCCTTAAAATTGTTGCTCTACGAGAAAGTCGGCCGAGAAAATCGCTTCGTGTAGACGGACCTTAACACAATGTTACAGATATCAGGAATATGGTCATACCCAACACTTATGCTCAAACATTGAACGTTGTTGCAAATGCGGCCAGCAGCACAGAAGTAAAAATTGCACTCTTAAACCCGAAGAGAAACCAACTTGCATTTTTTGCAAACAGCAGCATGTATCTTCATACAGGGGTTGCCCTAAATATGAAGAACGATTTGAAGCTAAAAAATTGCGACCCAAGCCTCCAGCAGCACCTATTCCTACTTCAGCAGATTTCCCACAGCCCGTAAAACCAGATGAAGAAAAAAACCAGACTCAGCCGAAATCACTTTTTAGTGAGAAAGTTCAAAGAAGGATGAACCCCCTCGAAGGAATACAGGGAAGCATTAGAATAGATACAAGAACCGAAGCTCAATAACTTTTTAAGTAGCATCATCAATCACATCGAGAAAATAAGAACTGCGAAATCAACGCCGGAGAAGTTATCACCCGGATTCCACGCAGCTATGGCATTAATGCAATTTGCCGAAGATGCAGAATAATTCGCATCGGGCGATGCGAAAAGAGGACTTTAATGAACTTTCCTTTCTTTTCCTTTTACCATTTCTTCTAGGTTTTCCTTAGCGTCCAGTTTCAAGCGGTTCCTCTCGGGGTCAGTACTTGGGTGGGTGACTGCCCTCGACGAATCATCTCACTCAGACTCGTGAAGAGAAGCTCCCAGCTCGGACGACTAGCCGCGAAGGAATTATTTGTTTACTTCCCAGTTTTTGTACTTTTGTACACGCCAGAGCTTCGCCTATGTGGCGCGGCGATTTTTCGCCTTTAATTTCTAATAACCATCGCCTTAGGGCATAACTCACATTCAACACAGTCAAACTAATGCTGCGAAAACCACGAACCGATTTGATTTGATTCTTTCCAAACAGTGTACCCATGGTGTAGTGGTTATCACATCCTCCTAACACGTGGAACATCCCAGGTTCGTAACCTGGTGGGTACAGCCTCAGGTTTTTAATCGACCGTATTAATCTAATTTTCCCCCTCAGATGAGCCTCTTCGGGAGAATTATTCTATCTGGTTTCTTCACGGTCAGCCCCAGAAAGGGATTAGATAAGGAACTGGAAAAGTAGGCTAAAATTGCCTGCTGTGCGCCAGTATAACCCCGAAATTCCAAAACTTTCCAAACATAGCGCGATTAGCGACATAACGGGAAAAGCAGCTGATTTATCAGACTTCGATAAAGGTCAAATCGTTATGACTCGGCGACTGAGAACATCAATATCAGAAACGTCGCGTTTAGTGCGCTGTTAACGCACAGTTGTTATGCGCACATATCGAAAGTAGTGTATGGATGATGAAACACAAGTCGACGGCGCATTGATTCCAGAGAAAAGTGGAGATTGCTAAGCATTGTTCTCCGGACTGAAGAGCTACAGCAACCGAAGTCACCACCAGCTACAACAATGGTGACTCAGACAGTTTTTTCAACACACTATGCAGTGTACATGGCTGCGTATGGGCCTACGCAGCCGGATGCCGAAGCACGTCATCGCCAGCTGCGTCTGCAATGGACCAAGAAACATCGGAATTGGACATTAGGAGAATGGTAGAATGTTGTATGGTCCGACGGATCACCTTTTCTGGTCCATCACATCGACAAAGCGTGTGCTAATACGCCGATTACTTAACGAAACCCTGGCTCCCGGATGCACAGTTGGACGGAGACAAGCCGGTGGCTAGGGTATTATGGTGTAGGCAATGTTTTCATGGAGCACATTAGGACCCATTATCCCCATAAAACAGTATCTAATGTCTGTGCGCTACGTGGACATTGTTGCAGACCAGGTTCACTCATTCATGACAACAACATTTCTGGTGGGGGAGAGTGTTTACCAACAGGATAATGCACCATGTCATAAAAGTCGAATCGTCAGGGAGTGGTTCGAGGAACATTCCAGTGACTCTTAAGTCATGTCTTGGCCTCCAAATTCACCTGATATTAATCCAGTAGAGTATTTGTGGTTCCACCTAGAAAACTAAATCTTGTTGCCGCTACCCCTCGCATGTGCGGAGGCAGGACCAGTGGTGAGCGCTTGGTATCAGATACCTCAAGACGTTAGCACCTTGCTAGTTAACGCCGGTTCTGGCATTTTGAGGCTAAGGTGGTCCTACATGTTATTAACAGGGTGGTCATAATGTAATGGCTCTTCTTTATATAATGATAAAAATTAAAAAGGTCGGAACGACTGTACTTGGTTTACTAATTTTCTTTTTCACAGTTTAAATTTCTATTTTTCATGATTTCAATTCAAGTCCCCTTGAAAATTTTATTCATGATTTTCAAGTCCTTTTAAAAAAATCTATCGGAATTAAATTTCACACCTAATTTTGGTACACTCTACTAAATTTATATTAGGAGATAATATAATCACCATTTCTTTATTAAATACATTTACATTTCGAGTCCGGTTTATAAACTTGCTTACAGAAAAGAATGAGTGAAACTAATACGAGTGACATTATGTTAAATTAACAAAATAAAAAAGAAAAGGATTCACATCTATTAAAACAACAATTAGGATTTGTGAACATAATTATATATTATTAGATAGTCAAAGAAACAGGATTCTTTAAAATGGTAGTTGATAGCTGATGAAAATAAATTATATAAATCACTTAACTTTTGCATTGTGTGCTTTTCATTATTATTAAAAATTAAAATACCAGGTATCTGTTTAAAAACAGTGCAGAAGAACCGACCGTTAAAACAGAAATTTTAATGAAATGTTAAAGATAGCTTTCAGAGTTTAATATTTAACATCTTTATAATATTATTTTCATGTTTGATTCAAATTTTGAGTTCTCGTTTGTGGATGAAAATATGCAGACCTAAAGGGAAAAACAAAAGGATCGAGCCTTAAAAATTTATCAGTTTGATGAGAAAACAAATTCAAAATGTTTTACATTTTCACTAAACTAAAATGAACATACAGTCCATCACATGAAAGAAATACCATAGTATGAAAGAAAGAAAAACGGTGAAGACAGAAAATAAGTTAGTAAAAACGAAAAAAATTCAGCCTTTTTTAATTTGAATTGCTTACGCATATTAAATTTATATTATTATTTATTTTTTGCAGGTTGAAAAGCAAGAGATCTGTTTCTTCTTACCTGGAAAGAAAGACATCAGTTAAAGAAAATAAATCAGTTGAAGAAACTACATCAAGTTGTGACTCCTCTGAGGTCGATACCAGGCCACTTCGTGATGATATTAGTTCCAATGCACCATCTACAGAATCTGATGCTTTTTACATCAGTAGCGATGAAAGTGACGAAGAGTTGTCAGATACCATATTTTCTCAAAAAACTTACTGGTCTTCGACATCTCTAAGTACACTAAGTGACGGTAGTTTAAACAGTCTTCTTTCTCAGACTGGAACGGAACTTACTTCTAGTTCTGGCACATTAACTAGTATAGGATTAGAACGATTACCTACTCCACCGCCGCCTCCTCCATCTGTCACGGCGGCAACAACAAGAAAGGAAGTCTTAATAGAAGTTGTTCCAAAATCTACGACCTCAGATGAAAGCATTGTTACAAAAAATGATAAAAATCATTCTAATCAAAATATATCTCCGAAATCAACAAGAAAATCTAAATCCATGCACAAAATGCCAAAGTCTAAAGCAGAAAAATTGGATCAGCAAAAGCACTCAGTGCAAAGTTCCAAGAATATATTTACTAGTCTAGTAAACATGAAATCACCAGTAAAAGATCAATATAAGCCTAAGCAAAAGGACTACCAGTTTAATAAGTTACATGAAGATCAAGTACTAGCTCCTTTTGACATGTATGGAAATAGTTCTCCAAAGAAATTAAAACAAATTCCTGCTTTCATTAAAGACAATATTTCCCCAGTCATAGAAAATGAGTCAAAAAGTCTTTTGCAATCCTTTTGCTCAGTGCAAGAAACCAATGTTCAGCATGAAAGTTCAAGAACATGCAACAATTCAAATGTAGACAGAAAATTAAACGACACCATAGTATCAAAAGGAAACGCAGAAATTCCACTTAAATACGTGCACCAGGTAACTGTTACTCCAGTCCAAAGATGTATTATAAATGAAGCATCAGGGATATCCGGTAAGCAAATTCCAGTTAAAGAAAGTCATTACGAAAAGCAAATTTGTGACGGTAAAACTAAGTTTAATTTTTATCCGAACAGCACAGTCACAGAAAATGTACATGTTTACCCTTCAGTCCAAGCAAAATTTCAGCGTCCAACAGTTCTGCAATCTGAGAAAACGAAATTAGCAGCTCGAGTAGTTTTAGATCCGGAGGGAAGAGTTATATATAGCACAAATTCACTTGATCGCAAACATACTGATGTGAGGCCTGTGAAACACATTAAGTTAAAGTCTTGTGAGCCATTGTCAAGTGACAGTGAAGACGCGTACCATAAGCACAATTCCTTTCATATTCAGAATCATTTCCATCATGCAAATGCAATTCCAGAATGTATGGAAACCAAATTCCAAAACTGTAAAATGACAAACACATTACATAGTCCACCTACAGTGTCTAATCTAAACTTTAGACAAGATGCTGCTAGTATGGGCCAGTTTTATCCGGTTTGTAACTATTTGCATAAAAATCAAAACCATATGCAAATTTTACCTCCCAATTCTGTAAAAGTCACGCAAAGGCACTGTGCATCTGATTCATGTGAATTATTCAGGCCAAACTATCATCGCACTTTAGAACAAAATCCTGAAACAATACTAAGGATAAATTGTAAAGAAACAGCTAACAACAGTTTGCTAAACGAAAAAATGAATTCTTTGACTCCAGACCCAAATGTTTCAGGGTTACCTGTAAATGAAACCTTACTTACCCAGCGTAACGTACACTTGCATTCAAAACATATGGAAATGCTTAGTAGAATACCACAAAATTCTTGTTTTACAGATTCACAGCAAAACTCGTTTTCACCGTTATCACCAGAAATGAATTATAAAGTTCTCGAAAATCAAAATACAAAATCACCGCTAAGTACTATGTCTACAGAAGATTTATTTACAGTTATTCATAACTGCAAGAAAAAAATGAATATAAAAACAGACTCTGATATTTCTTTGGCTTCATCATCTCGTTCAAGTTCTCCGTCCTATATTCGTCCAGCTTCTTCAAAAGGCGGTTTAGCTGAAACTGGTTTTCTTTCACCTAGAAATCTATCAGCAAATTGTGATAATATGAGAGAAAGAAGAAGCTGGGCCGATTTTAGGCCAACGAATTCTTCTAGTGATCGGAAATCTTTAGCCTGTGATAGATTAGGACCTGCTAAACCTACAAGTATGCATGATTTTAAAATGTTATTATTACAAACTAGAAGTAATAGTCAGGTACCTGGTCCTCGCAAATCAGCTGTTGAAATGCTTAAAATTCCCGTATCTTATGAAAATAGTCAAAGGATGAATTCAATGCCTTTAAGCTTATCACCAAGAAATTCTATATCATTTTCTGTTCAGAATTCTCCAACTTCAGAAACATGTTTCTACAGCGGCCATTCAACAGTGCCATTCAAAAGAGGTAATCGTGCTCGAGCATCTTTACAGTCAAGGTATACAATGTATCCTCCGATATTTGAAGACTGTTTAGAAGATTCGGAAAATTGTCGGGATTTAATGCCGCCATCCTCAAATAAAGACCTAATTCCAGCTGAATCAGTGAAAGGAAGTAATCAGTACAGAAATAATGCACATAATACCTTAGAGACTAGTACTGTAAACCATGCGAGGCAATGGGTGTGATCTCAAATATATTAGCTCTAATATATGTGAAGGCTAACCTACATCTTCAATGCAGACTTTTTTTTTTTTTTTTTTTAAATCGCATTGAAGATGGGTGATATATATCTAGTTGTCTTTCTGCTAAAAGTGATTATAATTTACAAAAACAGTCAATGTAAGCGTGTCAGATAAAAAGAAAAACTAATAAAGAATATTCAATATAATTTGCTCTTTATTTAAGTAAAAGAGAATATAGTCGGTCTCTAATTCATGTCACTGCACGCAAAGTAACTATCACCTCTCTTTCATTTCATGACATATTTGTACATTTGCTTTCAACATGATTTTTTTTTTCCACATTTTACGCACTTCGTAACAATAAACGTTGTTAAAATTTGTCTAAAAATGACATCAGAGGTTTTAGTCAATTTAGAAATATTAATATACCAGTGAGAAAAGAAGCTAACAAATTTAACAAAAAAAAAAAAAAAAACTAGTGTGTTATTTTTAATATATATAGTCATTAGGATTTTTTTGAGAGGTAAGAGAGATGAAAAATTAACAACCGCCTTCGCCGGGAGCGAAGTTCGAAACCACGGACCCTCTGGAATACCGGCCAGGCGTGATACGTTACACTACGAAGGCACTCTAGGGGGAATTTTGGAGGAAGTGGGAGAAAATACTTTTATATACTCCCCCCTTCTTAAGGGAGACTAGGATTTTAGGGGAACCTAGTCCCAAATCCTGGGTTACGGAGAAAGGAATCATCATCCACAAACCACTTTATGTTTCGGGCGGCCCACTTTTTGTAGAGTCATTGGTAATGGAGAACAAGCAGAAAAGAGAAAAAGAGAAAAAATATGCAACCCCCGCCTTCGCCGGAATCGAACACGGGACCTCTGGAAACTTACCGGCCATTGTGCTTACGTTACATACGAAAGGGCACGCTAGGGAAGTGGGAGAAATACCTTATAATATAAATCATTCTTTAGTGACTTCATTCAAGGTTACCACCTGTAGCTTTCCAGTTTGAGTACTTTTCAGAAATGAACATTTTTTAATAACAAATACTTATTGCAATGATAACTATTTCACTGCTTTCTTGCCAAAAAATACAAAATTCTCAAAGTTAGCTCTTTACATATATATATTTGAAGGCAGTGATTTAAGACATTGCAGAAGTAGTGTTAGTTATTTTATAGAAGTTGTTTTAAAACTGCTAAAAAGCACGAAACATTTCAAACCCTGCTGAATAGCTCATTTTTGGTGACGTGATTCTGAAGTCATCGTCAGATAAGTATTAAAAGATTACTAGTGGTTATTTAGTGAAGACTAGAGTTTCTAGGATTGCACCGTCAGTAAACTGAATGCGATCAAATTTTTTTAACCAATTTTCTACGAAAACGTTACTCTTGAACAAACAGCCTTTCATGCTGTAGCATAAGTAGTCAACCAGTTCAGATTTAGAAAAGTTTCATTCACCTTCTTTCCTTGGTTTCACATTCAATAGCCAATTTTTTTTCTCTCTATCCGAGGTTTATAATTAAAGTGACCCCACTCAGAGCTCCTTAGAAGCCCGATCTAAATGATGTATGTTGTTGAATTTTGGTATGTATTTTATATGGAACACGAGGAAAAGAAAAAGAAACCTGCAATAAAAAATAATAGCTAAAATTTCGACCACCACGTGAAAGGCGGCATTTAAAGAACAAGAAACACAAATTGGAAACATGAAAATTTATTTAATCACAATATTTCTTTAATGCGCATTTTATTTCTGTCAGTCATATGTTATAGCATGTTCAACAATAGTGCGAAGAATTTCTACTTCTCGGAATTACCTGATCCTTTCCAAAGTGAGCACAAAAGCAGTTCTTCATTTGTTAGCCAACATCAAGTGTTGCACAAAACCGTCTCATTCTTGTAAAACAGAAATGCTACAAAAGTTCGCAGCACGGGCACTTGTGGTAGACCTTTGTCTTGAGAAATATTTTTCTCAAAGAAAAATGGGCCAAGAATGAAATCAGGTGTAAAACCACACCGTACAGTTACGTAATTAAAATCTTCAGGTTGTTCATCCATAACAATGGGGCTTACGCCACAGTTCTGAACGTTCACTACTCCTTTCTAGCTGCTCCCTAAAATAAATACTGTAGAAAAGAAGAAAAAAATGCATAATGCTTTTAATAAAAACAGCTGAGTATCAATAAAATAGATAAAACTGGTCGCTGCTCGAGTTGGCCTTCGACCAGGATACAGAGTTTAGATGCTAGCTCGTCGGAAGACACTAGGGCTATAACAGTGATATGAGTACTGATGAACTGACCAGATGTAGTATGGAGCTTATTAAAAGATGACAGTACCACTTTATTTTGCAGAAAACTTGAGTACACGAGTCACTCTGAGCAATCAAGAAGGAAAAATTATTTAAACATATGGGCAGATGACAAACAGATAATCAAATTGGAAATATAGATATTAATACTGAATTATGTACAGAGTTTAAATATAGTCAACAGCGTTGAGTATAGGGGGAAGTGTGCCGCTGTACTCCTATTGCTGCAGGAAACTTACGCTATGGACGTATATGAGGAAAGCTGCATATGGCCTGACAGGGCTAAGCAGGCAGTGGCACAATATGTAATGACCGAGGCAATTTTTATTTTGTGCAAATCTGATATTCGCAGCTCACTCTGACAAGTGTGTGGAAGCTGGTTTTTTAAGGTATCCTGAAGTCTGTCGGCAGTCAAATGCGTAAGGGTCCACTGTTCTTTCCCTACCATATACGCAAAGATCTGCGTTACTGCGTCGGAAGCGGTGCAAATATGCTGGGAATGGATCATGTCTAGAGAAGTATTGAGCCAGTAAAGCGGAGCTGCTGCGTAACTCTTGCTACATTTGAAAAGAAGAGGAACGCGCCGTGACGCATGGTAGCTGTGATAGATTTCAGAGACATCCTGCCACCTTTTGAGCATGTGCTCCTAAGTGGTCCGCTTAAGATATGATGCTGGGAGAAGAGTTGAAATCTCTTCATCCTGGATGTTGATTGCTGCCTGCTTCGCCAGATCGTCAGCTAGTTCACCTTCGGGTGGCACTCTTGTGGGCTGGAACCCCACGTAGAATAAGACGGTTAGAAGTAGGAATTTGCAACCACATGTGGCCAATATCACATACCAGTGGGCTTCTGCTACTTGTAACCGATATGGTCTGAAGACCAGAGGCCGAGTCGCCAAATATCATGGCATTTGGAACATGTTCAATTGCGTTGCAGATTGCAGCATGTAGGGCAACTAGTTCCGCTTGGTAAATGGAATTGTTGAATACGAGTCTGCGTGTTTGTATTGAAGGATATTATTCTGCAGGTGACAAAAGCCACTTCCAGTATCATTTTCCGTCTCTGATCAATCCGTGTAGCTGGCTTCCGTTACTTCAGTGCGAGGCGAAGAGTCCAGACTCACATTTTGTTTCAGGTTTTCGTGCGCAAGGTGGTTATGCATATGAACCTTGCATTAGTTGGTATGTACATATGTATGGGCCCCAGCGATTATATGTTCTTTCAAGTCTGATGAGGATAGATATAGATAGATAAAACTTCATTTATTTTTTAAAAATTACTTAGTTTGTTAATCAGTAATAGGCAGATTAAATTTAAAAGAAAAATTAAATATCTTACGCTTTGACAAATAGCAAAAAACTGGATTTTAAGTGAAGGACAAGGAAGTGAAGGATATTTTATATCGGATGTATTTAGAATTCCTAAGAAGTTTTCATGTCGCCATAATTTTTTTTTTTTTTCATTTGCTACATCTTTAAAAATAATGCATGTCTATATATATTTTCTTTAAATATATAAATATGTCCTTTTATATTCTTTAAAAAGAATACATAGAAATAACATTTGGTAGCTACATCTTTTAATTATGTTGCTATTCTTTAAAAATAATGCACGGCGATAACATTCGAAAAGTGATGTAGATATAAAAGTGAAGTTTGACACTAATCGTACCTCTGATTCCTAATGATGAATTTTTCACTGGAAAAGGCAAATTCAAGTATGTAATTTACATAGCCGCACTTGCAGAACAACTCATCATGCCTTTCCGTAGAGTAAAAAAAAAAAAAGTCTACAATCCAAAGTGTGCAGTGAAATTTTTGGCTACATAGTATATTTTCAAATAGGGCCGTTCCTAGGCCATTGGCTGCCCGCATACTTTCCTAAGTTGCTGCCCCCAAATTAAAAAAAAAATGCTCAAAGATTAATAAACATTTTATTTCATACTAAGAACTTACATACGACAAACTGTATAAAAAGTACTTACAATGAATTTTAAATATTTAGGCGTGGTATCGCGAGAGTCCTGCCACTCGCGTACTTTTACGTGCTGCACCCCCGCTAGCAACGGCTCTGTTTTCAAACAAATCAAGGAAACTTGGCCCTACAGAAAACCAGCAGAGACATTGCATTCAATCAGCATAACTTACAAAAAGTGTAAAATAAAATACTATATTTACTCGCCTATTTCCCTCCTACTTTTTAGCATATGGGTCTGAAATTGTTTTAGGTATTCATGCAAGTTTCTCTTTCCTCAAGGTATTCAAAAAGTGAGCTCTCCTAAATTTTTAAAATGGATTCGCCCACGTAGTGGTTGTTTTTTTCTTACTAATTACTAATGGATTTGTTTTTGTGGATTTTAAGTGCACGAGCTCTGCCTGATGAAGAAGTAATAGTGAAGAGCTTCTGTAAACAGGGATATCTAATGCTATTGATGGATCTGAAAATAACTGCACATGGGATATACATTAAATGGCAATGATACTGATGACATAAAAGCTGTAGCAGATCACACAGACAATAGTTCCAGCAGCATTAAATGATTTGAAATCTAGACAGTAGCAGTGGTCAACAATAACAGTGGATGAGATTCAAGATACAGGGAAGCAGAAATGAAAATTATCTTGTTAGATATTTTAATCGTAATCTCCTGAGTGGCAGGACCACCTTTACCTGGTCATGAAATTTTTTGTTAACTTGGTATATATTTTGCTGTTATCTTCTTTAATAATGTAAATATCATCTTAATGAATGCGAGTTTATGAAAACAGACTAAAATAAGTTAACTATAGCAATTTGGCTCATAAATGCTCTTTAAATGCAGATCTTCATGAGCAGATCCAAAATGCAGTGCGCTCAGAGGGTTGATATTACGACGCATTCTTATTGGAA